TTACATGTGAGACGTGTAGTCAATTTAATTCAGTTTGGCGAAACAAGAATCGAAAGATGTCTTAACCAAGCTTTTAGACAGCACACTTCTTGATACCGTATGTTTTTTGGCAAAACAGGAATTAGGTAACATTTTTTTTAATTTTTATTTTTACACACATATTTTGGTTTATCTTCCTTCTACAATCATTATCTGAAAATTAATGACTCAACTTCAAAGTCACCCTGTATAGTTGTAGTGTACTTTAGTTTAGTTGATTAGTTATTTAACCTTTCTGTATTCCTTAGTGTTTCTTATATATATATATATATATATATATATATATATATATTTTCTCTTTTTTGGAATTGCACACAACATCGTGCTTAAAGTACAGACAAAGGTAGTTAAGTGTAAGAGTAGCTCAAGCTAAACTTCGCTATCTTTGTCCCTCACATGTACAAAAGATGAATAAAGGCGTTATTATTATTATTATTATTATTATTATTATTCATTGCCAAAAAAGATCAAAAATTTTTTGAACAGGAACGTCGACTGTTTTTTCGGACGGCTTGGATCAGTCATAACATAAGACGATGAGGTATACCAAGTGCCCCAGACGCTCATTCCAGGAATGTTTACCTTAATTTGAAAATAGTTTAAATAAAATACCTAAAATAAGCAAAAACTTATATCTGGGAGGTTCAAAATAAACTTTTTTTAATAAGATTTTTCACATCTGGTTTTGGTAACAGTTTAGGAAAAGTCACGCGTCGCCACTGGTGATAATAAAGAGTAGGTAGTACGATACTTCGGCTGTAAAGAAACGATTTCGTGGGATTCCAATCAGAAATTTCTCAAATGACCCTGAAAAATCGTTTTTCATTTTTTCGTTATTCAAAGGTGGAAAAACAAAAAATTTGGCTGGAAAAACATGGTAAATCGATGGAAAATCAATGTGTTCTATTTTTTTTTTAATCTGACTAACTCTGAGCTAACTTCACATGTCCTTGGTTTTTTTTCTTTAAGTTTTTCTCTTAACGTAAAGGTGGAAAAACGTAGTAAAATGATGAGGAAACGATGTGTATTGATCGTTTTAAATAATCTGGAAAATCTCAGCTACGTGAACCTAGCCCTGAATCCTTATCTCTAATTTTTTTTTTAACCAGCGGTGTAAAACAAAATTTTTTTGGCGGAAAAACGAGGTAAGAAGATGAAAAATCGTATGGCACAACGTTTTTTAACAACCCAGAATTTTCTAAGTTAACGTCACGGACCTCTTTCCCGGACTATTTTTTTTTGTAAGATTGCGATGGTAGATTTTTGTCCGTCGCCCCGTATAACTGAACGAGTCTATTAAATACCCGTACACCCCTTAAACTTGGTAACCACGCATTTTTTTTTAAGTTTCTAAGGAAAGTTTTAGGAATCTATCAGGTATCTTGCAGTCATCATTGACAAGGGCTTGACCTGGCAGAAACATACTGATATTTTCAAAACAAAATTCCAAATTACCTTTCGGCAGCTTTATCCTTTGTTGTGCAGAAATTCAAAATTAAGTTTGATCAAGAAGATTCGGTTGTACAAAATGGTCATAAGACCCGCAATCACCTACGTATGCGCGGCTTGGTGTTTTCTTGCCAAGACGCACATGCAGAGACTGCAAGTCCTGCAAAACAGAACCATACACACAATTACTAACGCCCCTTGGTACGTGTCAAATGAGACCATTCACAGAGATCTTGATATCCCATATACAAGGTGTCCGCAAAGTTGGGGTTTTCCTTTTCAGAAACAACTACCCTTGAAATAACAAAGGCAATGTGTAGTGAAACGAGGGCGACCAAGTAAAAAAAAATAAAGGAAAAAGTACTCACTCTCCAGTTGACGAGAAGGGCTAAGTACGTCTCTGCCCGGAATCATACCGCTCCAACATAAAATGAAATCAGCTGATGCGCTACCGAGCAGACGCAGAAACCACATTGATTGTCTTACACTTAATGGCACATCTTCTAACAAGGAAGGCAAAATGTTGCGTAAAAAGTCTAGGTATTGCATCCCGTCCAATCGATTTGGAAGAATAAATGGTCCAATGAGCATACCGTTCACCATGCCAGCCCAAACATTCACCGAAAATGTTTGTTGAAAATGTACCCGACGGACAGCGTGCGGATTTTCTACTGACCAAACATGAGTGTTGCGAAAATTATTCACCCCATTACGCGTGAACGTAGATTCGTCTGTCACCAATATGCACTTCAAAAAGTCCAGATTATTGTCATGTCAAGGGCTTGTACACGTTGGACGTGAAACGGATACAGCCCCTCTTCACGCAGCGTTTGCCACACTTTAGTTTTTGATACTTGCACTTCTCTAGCCAAGTCTCTAGTGCTTGTTGAGGGATTCTCGTCTACGCGATTACCTCTACACGCGTGACCGTAACCGTCGGTTGAAGGTTGCATACTGACTTGACACACTGACCCCGACCCAGTTCTGTCGTCGGGTTGAGCCAGTGACCTTGTACCAGTCGGTGATGTCGCGGCTACAGGACGGTATTCAGATATTTTTTATGTTCCAGAGTCCTTTATCTCGGTTCCCTTAAGACATTGGTGTATATGGTACTAAGAAAAATTGCTTATGTTTTCAAGATCTACACGTCGTGTAAAGGAAAACCCCAACTTTGCGGACACCCTGTATAAGGGATTATGTAAAATAACAGGCGCAGCGGCGTTATAATCAAGCCGAATCGCACAGCAACACTCTGTTGCGTGATTTAGTAGACTACACAGTCGAGCAACTTCGCAAACATTCCAGACCGCTCCTCGCACTGTGATCGAAGTTAAGTTGTAAATTCAGACCACCCAAAATTATTTCAGTATACAAAACCGATCAAAATTATTTTTTGGAGTTACAAAATAATTCGAGTAGTCAAAGCAATAATACTTAAGCTATTTTAAACGATTTACTTCTTTTCTTTGCTCTATTTCTTCCTTCCTTTCTTTCCTTCTTTCTCTTTTACCCTTAAACATGTTTGGTATCTGGATAGCCAGACCTGACTAACAGACCGACTAAGAGCAAAGGTCCACCGGACCGCTCTGACGAATAGTAGGAAATCAAAAGGCAATTTGTCATAAAGTCATACTTATGTTTGAAAATGGCTAATGTGAAATCTGGAGCTCGACACTAATCCGCCGTCAAAAATGATGGAAGCTGTTTGAACTTACAAATTTTACCTCCAAATGACCTCTAAGGTCATATTTGAGTTTCACAACAAATTACTTTTTCGATATCCTGAAACTTTTGTTAGAATCTTTATTCCGATAAATGCGTGCTCGACAAGTTTTTGGGATGGTAGGGTATCAATATTGTTCATAGGTTACGATTTGAGGAACACTCGGGTCCAGGACTATCTTTCGAGACCCTGTTGAATCACAAACAAAACACAAAGGACGCAATGTTATGAAGACGTTATATACTAAGTGACAAATCCGAACTGCTAGTTTAAATGGTTTTATTTTAATAAAATTTTGTATAAGTACTTAATGAAGCATAATAAGTAAATGATAAAAATTTCAAAATGATTGCACTGCTTTAAAGCCCTTTGACCTTTAATAATGTGTGAATGCACCCTGATGTGCTACGCATTCTCCAACGCGCCTAGGCATGCTTCTGATCAGGTGGTCAATGTCCTCCTGTGGTATCTCATTCCAGGCAACCACCAACTCCTCTCGAAGTGCTTCTAGAGTCTGAGGAGGACGTTGCAAATTGAGTAATCTCCTACCCATCATATCCCACACGTGCTCAATTGGGGATAAGTCGGGAGATCTTGGTGGCCATGGTAACAATGTGACATCATTATGTTGAAAGAAGTCTATTGTGACTCTTGCAACATGTGGTCGGGCATTATCTTGTTGGAAAGTTGGATCTGCCAGGGTGTCAAGATAGGGTAAAAGATGGGGTTCTAGAACTTCGTGGATATAACGCTGCGCGTTCATGTTACCTCTGATGAAGATTAAAGGTGACCTGGAACCATAAGCTATAGCACCCCAAACCATAACTCCAACAGTGTGATGAACATGTCTTTCAACAAAAAACTGTGGATTCCTCCTTTCACCACGTCGCCTTCTAACCCTGGCACGAACATCGTGCATGCCTAAACAAAATCGAGGCTCGTCACTAAAGACAATACTGTTCCATTCCTGATCCCAGAGTGACCGTTGTCTGCACCACTCAAGGCGATTACGTCGGTGTTCTCGAGTTAAAGGGAGGACCCAGTGTGGCCGGTATGAAAACAAGCCAAAACTTCTCATTCGTCGGTAAACACTTCGCATGCCAATAGGTCTTCCGTGTTCTGCAAACCATTCATTTGCAATGGACCTGGTAGTGGAGAAACGGTCCCTTAAGGCCAATAATCTTAGGCGGCGATCTTCACGGTCTGTTGTTCTACGGCGGCGTCCAGTGCCCCTTGCTCTTTGCGTACGGCCTTCTCGAAGCCATGCCTGACAACACCTAACCACAGTGTCTACACTTCTTTGCACTCTAACTGCAATTGCCCGAAAAGAAGGTCCAGCTTCCCGAAGTCCCACTATACGGCCCCTATCAAACTCACTAAGTTGACGAAATCGTACAGGTCTCCGCACTCTAGGCATCGTGACCGATCGTAAAGGATGTCAAGAACCAAAATCCGCCAACGTTGATTCTTTACTGCGGCTGAAATATTCATTTTTAGAGCGTTAGTGAATTAAAAAAAAGCAGTATAAAAACCGGAACGTCCAACTGATAAGGCTGAAAATTTTTTCACTTGTTATTTACAGCAAGATAAATACATTCACCAACTTTTATTAAAATAAAACCATTTAAACTGGGTGTTCGGATTTATATGTCACTTAGTATACATTTCACGTTTTCATTTTTAAGTCCCGTGCAGATTTTGGGGCATCCTGTAGTTATAGGATATGATCCCAAAAACTTTGTCTTATAAAAATCTACAAAATATGAAGTAATGATGTTAGCATACTTACATTTGTGCAATAAAGCACAGAAAAAGATGCTACAAGTAAGACTGCGCCAAGTGTCACGTAAAATTGAAATTTTCTCAAATAGGGGAAATCGTCCACGATAGCGCACACTGATGTTTCTACAAACACAAACTGAAACAAAATTTTAATTTAACCGAAGTTATTTTGGACGCTTTTCCTCTAAGCAGATTTAAGTTGCTCATGTACAGTAATACAGCTTTGCAATGGAAGCTTTTTGTTTTACACGCATAAAAAGAGAAAATTGAACTACGAGCCCCTTCCCACTTCAGTTGGCCCAACTATTGAAATCTTAGTTTTTTCCTTATCAAACGGCGAACTCTTGATTCGAGAACATTGTAAATAAACACGACGACGTACGCGAACAAACGCAAAACAACACGCCCGATGCCCGATAACTAATCACTGTTACCGTTTGCGATCGATTGCCGGTTCGATAAGAGTGATGAAAGGCCGACGCGCTGTTGTCATGTGTGTTTTAAATATTTAATTTGATGAAACTTACTTACTGACTACAAATTTTAGCTAACTTAGAGAAATTTGATGCCATTTATTTGTTAGTTACCCAGTTTAAAAACGTTTTAGATTAGATCATAAAAATTAGTAAGATTGTGGTGATTTTGGTTTATTACGATTTATTACGATTTATTACGATTTATTACGATTCATTACGATTTATTACGATTTATTACGATTTATTACGATTTATTACGATTTATTACGATTTGTTACGATTTATTACGATTTATCATGATTTATCACGATTTATCACGATTTATTACGATTTATTACGACTTATGACGATTTATTACGATTTATCACGATTTATTACGATTTATTACGATTTATTACGATTTATCACGATTTATCACGATTTATCACGATTTATCACGATTTATCACGATTTATCACGATTTATCACGATTTATTACGATTTATTACGATTTATTACGATTTATTACGATTTACGATTTATCACGATTTATTACGATTTATTACGATTTATCACGATTTATCACGATTTATTACGATTTATTACGATTTATTAAGATTTATTACGATTTATTACGATTTATCACGATTTATTACGATTTATTACGATTTATCACGATTTATCACGATTTATTACGATTTATTACGATTTATTACGATTTATCACGATTTATTACGATTTATTACGATTCATTACGATTTATTACGTAAGTTGTAAAACTATAGTTGTAAACTATAAAGCCATTTAGACTAAAATCTATTGACTTTTGGACCATGGGTCATATGAACTTTTTGACTTGTTTTTTAACCTGTTATCATATAAATTTACTAGTATTAGTTAATAAGAGTTTGAAAAAATACACGGCAAATTTGTAAGTTTGAAATGCAACGCTATTGGCTATTTCGACTTGTGAACAGCCAGTCCTTTGTTCATTGGTCAGCCTGATTCGAAATGACAGTCGCTTGTTCTTACTGTCATTGTCACTGTAATGTTCCAGCTTTCCAAAGTAATTTGTAGTAATAAATATAACCTATAAATACTTTGTAAACAGATGGTATGTCAAAAACTCGACAATAACCTAACCAAATGTACAATCAAACGTTACAGGTATCATGAGTCATGACGTCACTGCAAAGCGTGACAACGTCTTTTCCATCGCTGTTTTTAATATTTTTTTACAGACAGTCCGATAAATGGAATACGTGTTTACGGTATTAACGTGAATAATCGATAGAACATTAAAAAACATACATGTTCGCTATAGTTGTAATGCGAAAACTCACCAAGGTGTCCAATCCTATATTGTACAACATGAAAAAGAAAAGTATCGCCCACAGGTTAGGCCAGGGCATCAAACTGATGGCTGCTGGATATGTTATGAAGGCCAATCCTGGCCCTTCTGTGGCCACTCTCGATATCGGCATGCCAGTTTCGTGGGCCATGAAGCCAATCACAGAAAAGACTACGAAACCTGCCAGGATGGAAGTGCCACAGTTCACTAAAGGTACTACAATGGAATCTCTGGAATATGAATTAAAGTTAAGAATAGTAGAAATAGTAATATGCTTCCATCAATATTTTCATAAACCACAGTGCTGAAACACTTCGGAATTTTGTATTCGTAGTTTGAAAGAAGCTTGATTCAGAAATCAATCTACTTAGCTAGGTGATTTTTAGTATTTCTGGGCTGATCCAATTACTAAAAAAATGTGGTCAAATGTGATTTTGATTTTGAAAAAAAAAATCCTCGGAATGCGCATCCGGAAAATTTATTATATATATACAGGGTGTCCGCAAAGTTGGGGTTTTCCTTTACACGACGTGTAGATCTTGAAAACATAAGCAATTTTTCTTAGTACCATATACACCAATGTCTTAAGGGAACCGAGATAAAGGGCTCTGCAGCATCAAAAATATCTGAATACCGTCCTGTAGCCGCGACCCGCCGCGATATCCCCGACTGGTACAAGGTCTCAACCCGACGGCAGAACTGGGTCGGGGTCAGTGTGTCAGGTTAGTATGCAACCTTCAACCGACGGTTACAGTCACGCGTGTAGAGGTAAACGAACTCGTATAATCGATTGCGTTTCAAAAAACAACAAGCACTAGAGACGTGGCTAGAGAAGTGCAAGTATCAAAAACTAAAGTGTGGCAAACGCTGCGTGAAGATTGACTGTATCCGTTTCACGTCCAACGTGTACAAGCCCTTCAACCTGACGATTTTCCAGCAAGAGTGCGGTTTTGTGAGTAGTTGTTGCATCAACATGACAATAATCCGGACTTTTTGAAGAGCATATTGGTGACAGACGAATCTACGTTCACGCGTAATGGGGTGAATAACTTTCGCAACACTCATGTTTGGTCATTTTTAACAAACATTTTCGGTGAATGTTTGGGCTGGCATGGTGAACGGTATGCTCATTGGACCATTTATTCTCCCAAATCGATTGGACGGGATGCAATACCTAGACTTTTCACGCAACATTTTGCCTTCCTTGTTAGAAGATGTGCCATTAAGTGTAAGACAATCAATGTGGTTTCTGCGTCTGCTCGGTAGCGCTTCAGCTGATTTCATTTTCTGTTTGAGCGGTATGATTTCGGGCAGAGACGTACTTAGCCCTTCTCGTCAACTGGAGAGTGAGTACTTTTTCCTTTATTTTTTTTTACTTGGTCGCCCTCGTTTCACTACACATTACCTTTGTTATTTCAAGGGTAGTTGTTTCTGAAAAGGAAAACCCCAACTTTGCGGACACCCTGTATATATATATATAATATTATTTCGCGTACCTTTGAAAATAAGACTTACGAAACTTACAGCTTACAGTTGTTTTTGAAGTCATTATAGCTAAAAATATTGACAAGTCCTCCCCAGCCTGGTCCTAAGGAAAAGAATATTTGTATTGCAGCAGCTGCCCAAACCTACAACATAGAATCTTGGTTACGAGAAAAATTTGTGTTGCAATATTTGGCTATAACCGTGACAATTATACACGGTGGCCCAGCGAAAAGATCGCATCCCTATTTGTGAGTCTCCTGGTACATTTTGGGAAAAACGCTCGGATACGTCAATTTTGATTTCTATGGGGGACGTCTTTTCATTCCATACAGGACGAGCCCTAGATTTTTAAATGGAAACCTCCGTTTTTTAATTTTCAGATTCTCCATGAAGTTTTTAGTAACTCTTTATAACTCATACCTATGTTCAATCGTTGTGAAGCTATGTAGGTTTATAATAAAATTCTAGAAATTTGGAATATCTGTATCTTAAGAGTACTGGTGCATTTCCTAAGCGAGAATTTGATTACTCTGTGCTGCTTATTATGTAAACTTTTGTCATGTGACATTCCCTTTACACTGCCCAGTTGGATCATAGAAATTCGAGAATCTTTTATTGTGGTTGTGGTAGAACCAATATTTTGACTAAATCATCAGTTTAAATCATTTGAAACATCTTTAACATCTGTGACATTAATTTCTCTCCTCTTCGCATTTCACATTTAATATGAAACCTTTACGATTTTTTATTGTTATTCAATTATTTATTTTTATATAACATTAGTAGTTTTTTATTTATATGATAAACAACAAGTTCGGTTGGCTTTAAGCGTTCCCTAAGTTATTGGGTGCGTAAATGCCTGTTGGAAATAAATATACAGGGTGTCCGCAAAGTTGGGGTTTTCCTTTACACGACGTGTAGATCTTGAAAACATAAGCAATTTTTCTTAGTACCATATACACCAATGTCTTAAGGGAACCGAGATAAAGGGCTCTGCAACATCAAAAATATCTGAATACCGTCCTGTAGCCGCGACCCGCCGCGATATCCCCGACAGGTACGAGGTCTCAACCCGACGGCAGAACTGGGTCGGGGTCAGTGTGTCAGGTTAGTATGCAACCTTCAACCGACGGTTACAGTCACGCTTGTAGAGGTAAACGAACTCGTATAATCGATTGCGTTTCAAAAAACAACAAGCACTAGAGACGTGGCTAGAGAAGTGCAAGTATCAAAAACTAAAGTGTGGCAAACGCTGCGTGAAGAGGGGCTGTATCCGTTTCACGTCCAACGTGTACAAGCCCTTCAACCTGACGATTTTCCAGCAAGAGTGCGGTTTTGTGAGTGGTTGTTGCAACAACATGACAATAATCCGGACTTTTTGAAGTGCATATTGGTGACAGACGAATCTACGTTCACGCGTAATGGGGTGAATAACTTTCGCAACACTCATGTGTGGTCAGTAGAAAATCCGCACTCTGTCCGTCGGGCACATTTTCAACAAACATTTTCGGTGAATGTTTGGGCTGGCATGGTGAACGGTATGCTCATTGGACCATTTATTCTCCCAAATCGATTGGACGGGATGCAATACCTAGACTTTTCACGCAACATTTTGCCTTCCTTGTTAGAAGATGAGCCATTAAGTGTAAGACAATCAATGTGGTTTCTGCGTCTGCTCGGTAGCGCTTCAGCTGATTTCATTTTCTGTTGGAGCGGTATGATTTCGGGCAGAGACGTACTTAGTCCTTCTCGTCAACTGGAGAGTGAGTACTTTTTCCTTTATTTTTTTTTACTTGGTCGCCCTCGTTTCACTACACATTACCTTTGTTATTTCAAGGGTAGTTGTTTCTGAAAAGGAAAACCCCAACTTTGCGGACACCCTGTATATGCATCTTAATATAATACAGTTATACCTTCAAGTCTGTTAGCTGGTCCCATTTGGGCCAAATGTAAAAGTAGACTCCGTCCCAGGCGCCAGGCAAAGTAAGTCCTCTGATGAGCAAACAGAACAGAACCACAAACGGAAACAAAGCTGTGAAGTATACCACCTTGCCAACTGATTTTATTCCTTTCATGATGCACAGGAATACTATCAACCAAGCGAATATGTTGCACGAGAGAAGGAAAGGATCAATGGATCCTGTTTCTTCGATCCCTGAAGACATCTTCAGTATTTCCAAACTAGAAAGGATATAAGTTATTATCCGAGTACGTTCAAATTTCGTTCTCACACTTCCAGCTCATGTATTCAAAAAGTTAGATGTTTGTGGCTTAAGTGGAAAACAAGTAGAAGTCCGCTGATCTCCGGTCTGTTTGTAACTTGAAAAGTACAGCTCGGACTTTGCTTTTGACACTAATATGATAAGATAAATTAATCATGTAGTACCTAAAAAGTACCAATGAAAAACTTGCATTCGTTCTTTGATATAATTTAAAATAAAGTCATAAAAAAATAAAAACGAAAAATCTAAAGCTGTGTTGTTGAAGAGCAGCTGCTTAGTTGTTAAAGCGACGATTTTTTATTTGATTTTTTTACTTACTGGAAGAACTCATCTGCCGGTGTTTTCACTAGAGTTTTATTCATGCTTCGATCGGAACTGTCATTTGTTTGAGTCATGGGACCATCCACTTTTAACTAAAGCATTGTTAGAATCAATTATACAGTATTATCCTAGAGTAAAGGTTGTTGTGAAATGTATACTAAGTGACATATAAATCCGAACACCCAGTTTAAATGGTTTTATTTTAATAAAAGTTGGTGAATGTATTTATCTTACTGTAAATAACAAGTGAAAAAATTTTCAGCCTTATCAGTTGGACATTCCGGTTTTTATACTGCTTTTTTTTAATTCACTAACGCTCTAAAAATGAATATTTCAGCCGCAGTAAAGAATCAACGTTGGCGGATTTTGGTTCTTGACATCCTTTACGATCGGTTACGATGCCTTAGTGAGTTTGATAGGGGCCGTATAGTGGGACTTCGGGAAGCTGGACTTTCTTTTCGGGCAATTGCAGTTAGAGTGTAAAGAAGTGTAGACACTGTGGTTAGGTGTTGTCAGGCATGGCTTCGAGAAGACCGTACGCAAAGAGCACGGGGCACTGGACGCCGCCGTAGAACAACAGATCGTGAAGATCGCCGCCTAAGATTATTGGCCTTAAGGAACCGTTTCTCCACTACCAGGTCCATTGCAAATGAATGGTTTGCAGAATGAGAAGTTTTGGCTTGTTTGAGTCTCGATTTTGTTTAGGCATGCACGATGGTCGTGCCAGGGTTAGAAGGCGATGTGGTGAAAGGAGGAATCCACAGTTTTTTGTTGAAAGACATGTTCATCACACTGTTGGAGTTATGGTTTGGGGTGCTATAGCTTATGGTTCCAGGTCAGCTTTAATCTTCATCAGAGGTAACATGAACGCGCAGCGTTATATCCACGAAGTTCTAGAACCCCATCTTTTACCCTATCTTGACACCCTGGCAGATCCAACTTTCCAACAAGATAATGCCCGACCACATGTTGCAAGAGTCACAATAGACTTCTTTCAACATAATGATGTCACATTGTTACCATGGCCACCAAGATCTCCCGACTTATCCCCAATTGAGCACGTGTGGGATATGATGGGTAGGATATTGCTCGATTTGCAACGTCCTCCTCAGACTATAGAAGCACTTTGAGAGGAGTTGGTGGTTGCCTGGAATGATATACCACAGGAGGACATTGACCACCTGATCAGAAGCATGCCTAGGCGCGTTGGAGAATGCGTAGCACATTAGGGTGCATCCACACATTATTAAAGGTCAAAGGGCTTTAAAACAGTGCAATCATTTTGAAATTTTTATCATTTACTTATTATGCTTCATTAAGTACTTATACAAAATTTTATTGAAATAAAACCGTTTAAACTGGGTGCTCGGATTTATATGTCACTTAGTATATCTTTTAAGTTGGTATTAGTGTGGAAATATGTTGAGTTGGTACTGAGTGGCGACTGACAGTTGAAGTATTGATAATTTAACACATAAAAAATATAACAAAGGTCTTTCACCATATATGATATTTAAGATACTTCGTCCCCCAATGCGTAGTAAGTAAAATATTCTTGCCTCTCTGCAATCCTTGGTGTTCCATGGGTTGCCACACGCAGACCATGGCAAGGGATCTTTAAAAGCGTACGTCAGAAACATTAAGGGGTAAGTATTGACTATGTTGCAATATGTGCTTGAAATCGCGTTTAGTACAACTATTGCATATCCAGCACCTGGAAATATACAAACAAATTGATAATATCAGAAAAACGACTGGAAGACAAGTACTAGATTTAAAAAAATAGAATATCTAAAATTTTAAATACCTTTGAACAAGGGGCATATCTTGAATACAGTTATACATCCGGTGCTGGAAAACTGCCCCATAGCAGATTCCATGAAAAATAGTGGGATTCCACATAAGAACAGCATAATCAGGTAAGGTACCAAAAATGCACCTGTCGGTGAAATAATAGATATAAGTAGTTACGATTTAGGCCCGTATCGTCAGTCGTCCCTACAGTCTCATTTCAGATCTCTTAAATAAAAACACCAACCTTTTCATAGCTGGTGACTTCAATCTACGTGACATTAGCTGGCCTATGTCAACCATTCCTGAATGCAATTCTTCTTCTGCTGCTTACATCGACTTGCTACGAAACTCTAGCATATCTCAACTTGTTGATCGTCCAACGAGATTCAGGGAAGGACAGACGCCTAGGGCTCTGGATTTGATAACGACGCCGACTTTGTTTCTAATTTAGATTATTTGCCACCTTTTGGCAGGTCTGACCACTGTTCACTTTTATTTTCTTCAGTTCAATATAAATAGTCGTTCTACAACCGATAAGTTTAAAACCATCAAAATTGTAAACCACGATGCTCTTAACCAAGCCCTGTCTGAAGTCAACTGGCCTGCTTTGCTTAACAACCGTAGCACCCAAGATATGTGGGACACTTTCGCTCAACGAGTCCTAAGCGAAACGGCTGACAATACTGTTGAAAAGAAGGTATACTGTGACTCCTCAAAGCCCTGGATCAACTCTAACATATCTAGGATGCTTCGTCACAAGAGATCTTTGTGGCAACGGTTTAGGAGGAGTGACCATTCACAAGATTACGTGTCTCATCGATCCTTGTCTAACCTCCTATCTAGAACGTTACATAATGCCAAACATGCTTATGAACGAAAACTCGTTACCTCCAAAAATAAGAAGAAGCTGTTTCGGTATCTAAGAACAAACCTGAATTCCAAAGTTTCATCACCTCAGATCCGCGACCCTGACGGTCATCTCCACATGGATGCCACCGAATCTGCCAACTTACTGGCAGAGTCCTTTAGTGATGACTTCGTCGATGAGCCTAATGGAGACCTTCTACCGACCACTATCTGCCATAGGTGTCCCAACAGCCTTTGCGAAGTTGAGTTCCTGACTGAAGATGTATTAATGCACCTGCGAAATCTGAAGACCTCTCTTTCTCCCCTGGTAAAGATGGGATGACGGCTGCTGTACTTAAAAACTGCACTTCAGCACTGGCCCTACCATTAAGCTTGATATTCACATCGTCTTTTAGATCTCATACCCTACCCTCATGCTGGCTTAGTGCTTCTGTTACCCCTGTATTCAAAAAGGGCGACAAATCCTCCGCTAAAAATTATCGACCAATAAGTCTCGTTCCTATCGCCGCCAAAATAGCTGAAAGAATCATATTAGATAAGCTCCTGTCATTTGCTTTCGAAAATGAGCTTATCCCTAAGAATCAGCATGGATTTCTCCCTGGTCGATCAATAATGACCAACCTTCTCCACTCTCTCAACGATTGGACTCAGTATCTGGACACAAAGACTCCTGTTGATCTAATCTACCTAGATTTTTCTAGGGCTTTCGATCGCGTACCACATAGAAGGCTTCTGTTTAAGTTGGAATGTATGGGAATAAGAAGCGAGTTGTTACTGTGGATTAAGGCTTTTCTCACCGGGAGGACTTTCTCTGTGCGCGTCAGTGATAGCCAGTCTCACCTTCATCATGTAGCAAGTGGAGTTCCTCAAGACTCTGTCTTGGGGCCAGTGCTGTTCCTTCGGTATACAAGTGACCTACCCGCATTGATTTCTTCCACATGTTCAGCTTATGCCGACGACACCAAGATTTACAATACTGTCGTAAATTCTGCTATGCTTCAACGAGATCTTGATATTGTTTGTCAATGGTCCGTCAGTTGGCTTTTACCCTTAAATCTAACTAAGTGTTGTGTCCTTCACCTCGGGAAGACAAATCCGCGATTTACATACAAGATCTCTGACCACAACATCGAAGCAGTTTCCAGCCACACTGGTCTGGGCGTTGTAGTCAACGATCGTCTTTCCTGGTCAGAGCATATTCACCACGTTACATCAAAAGCCAAGAAACTTCTTTACATGCTGGAGAGGTCTTTCAAAGGATCCGATGTCAACACTTGCGCCTACATTTACAAGGCATTCGTGAGGCCAATTCTTGAATTCGCTGGCCCGGTATGGGACACTGTGCTTCTGCGCGATAGAAATCTCGTCGAATCAGTACAGCGTCGGGCTACTCGTATCCCTTTTGGAGCACGAAGACCAAGCTATGAAGATCGCCTTGAATTATTCAACCTGACCTCATTCTCTGAGCGAAGACTCCGTGGCGATCTTATAGTTACGTTCAGGATACTTCATGGTTTGATGGGCACCAACCTCATGCATCTATACCGTCTGTCGCGCAGCAATCTATGCGGACACAGCTTCAAACTGCATAAGGAGCCATTTAAAACAACAGTCCGACAGTGGTTTCTTCCCAACCGCATATTCAACACCTGGAATAGTTTACCTGAAAGTGTGGTTGGTGCTACTTCAGTTAATAGCTTCAAAGTGCAGTACGATAGCTGGAGGAGTGTACAAACTTTATAGCTATGAACTGTCTTTTTTTATTTTTTTCTATTTGATGTATTTGTATTACGTATACGTACTATATTTACTGCATGAGCTGTGTACTCTGCTCATCTCAATTATCTTAGTAATAGTAATAGTAATAGTAATTGTAGGGCGCGTTTATGGCCTCCTTGATTGTCATACTCCTTTCTCTCCTTCAAAAATTTCTAGATTACACTTGTCCCGTGTCAGCTTCAGCGCTCTCCTATTGTGAAGATATGTTTTACTTTTTAAATTGTAGGAAATTTCAGGCTGACAAAACATAACTCAAAAGCAAGCACAATTTGACGCAAATAGATGTTTGTGACATAACTTCAAAATAGAGCGCTGACACGGAGAAGTAGAAAACTATGACAATCAAGGAGACCATAAAGGCGCCCTACAATTGTAGGGACGACTGACGATACGGGCCTTAGATAGACAGAACGTCAGACCTGCTTTTCAAAAAGGTCCGCACTTGACGTACTAGACGCTAGGCGCCTGTCCTTGATTTCCTGTATACTTAACCTCGACTGAAGATTGGAAACATTATTTGTTGAAACTTTTTTTTTTGATGAAAATGAAAGTTCTTTTTTTTAAAACGCATACCTCTTATTTTGCTTATACTTAGAACCAGGACAACCCGTTCCGAGTTGCGTTGGAACATGGGAAAACCGCAAAGCAAAAATGCAAGCAAAACACAAGAAGTGTTTTGTAGTAATGGAAATATTGTTCAATTAGCTCCTAAAAACCCACCCTGTATGTCTAATTTGTTGCAGCAGTTACGTCGCTGGATAGCTTGAGCATTCTTTAACATTTTTTTCGACGTTAATCACTATAAAGGCTTTAACTTTTGACTACTATTTCATGTTTACTATTACGCGCTTTACGGTAAAACCTGAACGATTTTTTGCAATAAACATCTAGCTGTTGCAACGAACTGGACATTTTGAACTTATTTTCATTCCTTTCTCAATTCTTCTACAGGCTTATAACTTTGAAGTTTGACCAAAAAGTCACCTAGAGTTTTTTATTTCGAGAAAGGGGCCTTTGCATTCACTCTAAAGAATATACTCGTACATCGTGTCCGCAAAGTTGGGGTTTTCCTTTCCAGAAACAACTACCCTTGAAATAACAAAGGTAATGTGTAGTGAAACGAGGGCGACCAAGTAAAAAAAAATAAAGGAAAAAGTACTCGCTCTCCAGTTGACGAGAAGGGCTAAGTACGTCTCTGCCCGAAATCATACCGCTCCAACAGAAAATCAAATCAGCTGATGCGCTACCGAGCAGACGCAGGCAAACAAGGAAGCCAAAATGTTGAGTAAAAAGTCTAGGTATTGCATCCCGTCCAATCGATTTGGGAGAATAAATGGTCCAATGAGCATACCGTTCACCATGCCAACCCAAACATTCACCGAAAATGTTTGTTGAAAATGTGCCCGACGGGCAGCGTGCGGATTTTCTACTGACCAAACATGAGTGTTGCGAAAGTTATTCACCCCTTACGCGTGAACGTAGATTGGCCTGTCACCAATATGCACTTCAAAAAGTCCGGATTATTGTCATGTTGATGCAACAACCACTCACAAAGCCGCACTCTTGCTGGAAAATCGTCAGGTTGAAGGGTTTGTACACGTTGGACGTGAAACGGATACAGCCCCTCTTCACGCAGCGTTTGCCACACTTTAATTTTTGATACTTGCACTTCTCTAACCAAGTCTCTAGTGCTTGTTGAGGGATTCTCGTCTACGCGATTACCTCTACACGCGTGACCGTAACCGTCGGTTGAAGGTTGCATACTGACCTGACACACTGACCCCGACCCAGTTCTGTCGTCGGAGTCGCGGCTACAGGACGGTATTCAGATATTTTTGATGTTGCAGAGCCCTTTATCTCGGTTCCCTTAAGACATTGGTGTATATGGTACTAAGAAAAATTCCTTATGTTTTCAAGATCTACACGTCGTGTAAAGAAAAACCCCAACTTTGCGGACACGCTGTATAAATCCTTTTGTACAATCTATTTTACAAAGGCTTCACATTTGGCTGCTTGAATGTTTATAAAAATCATCCTAGTATTTTTCCATATCCATATGAATTGCCAAACCGTCGTGGAACTCCATATAAATAAAATGCAAATAGAAAGAAAAATAGCTATTTATTATAAAAGGGAAAAAAGTACTAGATTTTACCTTGAGGTTGTATATCTAGTATTTTCTCGTGTATAATACACATTTTTTTCTGTGATGGGAAACACTACGATTTAATATTGAAAAATTATATTATTGCAATATTTAAGTTAGAAATTTGAATTTTGAAATTATGTTGTACTTATAGCGACAATTAGACCTGCGTTGCAAAGGAAACTTTTAAAGTAGTCACATAGCTGTCAATTTAATTTTGTGATTTGGTTTAAAAGTTGTGAACTTGGTTGTTTAGAAGTTATTTTTAATACTTTAGAGTAAAAAATGTCTGATTACGAGTTTTCTTTGACTCTACCGGAATTAGTAGAAGTAGCCAAAGTAGCATCACAAAATTTATTGCCAGCTAAATCGCGTAAAATTTAAGAAACCACGTATTCGAGATTCATGGAATTTAAGATGAAGAAAACATGCAATTCTCTGTCGGAGACGGTGTTATCGGCTTATTTTTCGGAATTGGCACAACAACAAAAGCCATCAACAGTGAGGTCGAAATATTCAATGATTAAATGATGTTGCGATCCAATAATGATGTAGACATTTCAAAAAATTTCAAACTAATTACATTTGAAACAAAATGGGAAAGCCGCGATTTTTACGAGTACACAAATTAGTGATTGTTTAAATAATGCTCCGGATGAAGTTTATTCAATGGCCAATGTTGTTGTTGTATACTAAATGACATATAAATCCGAACACCCAGCTTAAATGGTTTTATTTTAATAAAAGTTGTTGAATGCATTTATCTTACTGCAAATAACAAGTGAAAAAATTTTCAGCCTTATCAGTTGGACATTCCGGTTTTCATACTGCTTTTTTGTAATTCACTAATGCTCTAAAAATGAATATTTCAGCCGCAGTAAAGAATCAACGTTGGCAGATTTTGGTTCTTGACATCCTTTACGATCGGTTACGATGCCTAGAGTATGGAGACCTGTACGATTTCGTCAACTTAGTGAGTTTGATAGGGGCCGTATAGTGGGACTTTCTTTTCGGTTAGGTGTTGTCAGGCATGGCTTCGAGAAGGCCGTACGCAAAGAGCAAGGGGCACTGGACGCCGCCGTAGAACAACAGACCGTGAAGATCGCCGCCTAAGATTATTGGCCTTAAGGGACCGTTTCTCCACTACCAGGTCCATTGCAAATCAATGGTTTGCAGAACACGGAAGACCTATTGGCATGCGAAGTGTTTACCGACGAATGAGAAGTTTTGGCTTGTTTTCATACCGGCCACACTGGGTCCTCCCTTTAACTCGAGAACACCGACGTAATCGCCTTGAGTGGTGCACACAACGGTCACTCTGGGATCAGGAATGGAACAGTATTGTCTTTAGTGACGAGTCTCGATTTTATTTAGGCATGCACGATGGTCGTGCCCGGGTTAGAAGGCGACGTGGTGAAAGGAGGAATCCACAGTTTTTTGTTGAAAGACATGTTCATCACACTGTTGGAGTTATGGTTTGGGGTGCTATAGCTTATGGTTCCAGGTCACCTTTAATCTTCATCAGAGGTAACATGAACGCGCAGCGTTATATCCACGAAGTTCTAGAACCCCATCTTTTACCCTATCTTGACACCCTGGCAGATCCAACTTTCCAACAAGATAATGCCCGACCACATGTTGCAAGAGTCACAATAGACTTCTTTCAGCATAATGATGTCACATTGTTACCATGGCCACCAAGATCTCCCGACTTATCCCCAATTGAGCACGTGTGGGATATGATGGGTAGGAGATTGCTCAATTTGCAACGTCCTCCTCAGACTCTAGAAGCACTTCGAGAGGAGTTGGTGGTTGCCTGGAATGAGATACCACAGGAGGACATTGACCACCTGATCAGAAGCATGCCTAGGCGCGTTGGAGAATGCGTAGCACATCAGGGTGCATCCACACATTATTAAAGGTCAAAGGGCTTTAAAGCAGTGCAATCATTTTGAAATTTTTATCATTTAATTATTATGCTTCATTAAGTACTTATACAAAATTTTATTAAAATAAAACCATTTAAACTGGGTGTTCGGATTTATATGTCACTTAGTATAGTCATGGCAATCTAAATCATACTATTATAAACCTGTACAAAAATGTTATTCAATAAGGATCGGCGTATTTTTCTCACTTATTCTGGGGAAACAAGTCTCAAAGAGAAATATACTAACCACCTCCGTTCTTGTATGCTAAATAAGGAAACCTCCACACATTCCCGAAACCAACAGCATAACCCACACACGACAGGATGGATTCAGTCTTATTTTTCCACTTTCCACGATTCGGGGATTCATTCTGTTCCATGATTGAACCTGTAAAATTTAATCTTCGGTCTTTGATTTTTCTTTGCTCAAAGTCTTAAAATTGCTTCCGGTAGGATACAGAGGTATGATGAATAAAAATTTCCAGATCGTTTCCAAACATAATAATAATAATAATAATAATTAACGTCTTTTATTTGTAATATTCGTACAGGAGGCGAGATTTAGATTATATATCTATTCTACCATCTAACCCCCTTAACAATACGAGATGTAAAAAAAAAACGAATTTGTTGAAAATTAATAGGCACCTGTTTACAATAACGAATAATCCAAGTAAATACATAAGGAAAATATGAGGACACTTACGGGTTACAACCGATTTCGCTGCTGATCAAGAAGAACTTCTTTCGCTTTTTTCTTGAATTTGGATAATGGATTGGTTTCATTTAAACTGCGGTCTAAAGAATTATATGATTTGATCGCATTGTAAATGTATGAATTCTGAAATAGAGACGTGCTGTGCCGTGGAATTGAAAAAGTCTCTCTATATCTAATATTAATACGATGCATATTCCCTCTACGTATGAATTTGTTTACCAAATATGACGGTGTTTTTGAATAAAGAACCTTATGAGTCAGATTTAGGAGCTGGTACTTATAGATCTTATCAATTTTCATCCATTTGAGTTCATTAATGGCATTCGATATATGATCATATTTTCTGAGATCATTTACAAGCCTGCAACATGTATTCATAATACTTTGAATACGATTTCTTCTTATAATATCTAAATAGGGATAGTAAACCACTAAGCAATACGGTATCTTTGAAAATACGAAATATTCACACAATTGCTTTCTCGCAGATTTATGTAATATAGCCTTATTTGCAAATAAAACTCTGAGAATAGCGTAGCACTGAGTAATTAGATAGTTCGCGTGTGCAACAAATTTTAAGTCATCATCCATTATAATACCTAGGTTTTTCGAATGATCCACAGGAATTAATTTATTACCTTTTAAATGTATGTCTATGTCCTTTTTTAAGGTATTCTTTTTTGTTCTATTTGCGTATACTAACATATTTGTCTTCAAATGGTTCAAAGGAAGATTATGACTACTACTGAACTTTTCAATTTGGACAAGATCTTGATTAATTTTATTATTTGCCGTTTTACTCCTAAATGAATAGAAAATTTGAGTATCATCTGCAAAAAATTGTATGCTGCATGATTTTACCTCTGTTTCTGAATCTGAGATATATAATGAAAATAATAGCGGTCCTAAGACTGATCCCTGTGGTACACCAGAACAAATTTTTTGTTTCGCAGAGTACTGTTGATTTAGACGAACTTTTTGATTCCGATTTTCAAGGTAGGTTTGAATAAACGAAAGAGGTTTTTCAGAAAATCCATAGTAACTGCATTTAGATACAAGAAGTGAGTGATTAATGGTGTCAAATGCTTTAGTAAAGTCAAGAAGTATGAGAGCTACTGCTTTTTGGTTATCAAGTGCCGTTGTTATATTGTCTGTTAAATCACAGAGTGCCGAAGCTGTATTATGACCTTGTCGAAATCCAGATTGTTTAGATGGAATAATTTTGTTACAATATAAGTAGGCGCAGAGCTGCTCGTAAACAACGCGTTCCAATACTTTAGAAAAAATTGGCAGTAGACTGATCGGTCTCAGTTGACTATAGTTAGTAGGGTCAGAACACTTAGGTAGCGGAATAACTATAGCGCGTTTCCACTGATTGGGGAAATATCCCCTCTCTAAACAGCAGTTTATAATATGCGTTAAGTACACATCAATTTCAGGTATACATAGTAGTATCATATGCAAAGTTATTTTATCTGTACCACTAGAATTTGATTTTATTTTATGTATAATTTCAACAACGGTGTCAATAGTCACTTTATTAAATTGAAATTTAAATTTTGAGTTATTTTTATTAGCTCGGTAATATGCAATTTTATCAGCACAAGCCAAATCACTATTCTCGAAAATTGAAATGAATGCCTCATTTATTTTATACGGATCTGACAAGCTCACGGGAATTGTACAATCTTTCTCAGATTGTACTTTGAAAGACTTTAGGGTCTTATAAAACTTTTTTATATCCTGATTTTGAACAGCTTGTAAATAATCTCTTTTTCCTCTTCGCAAGAGCGTTAATGCACGATTTCTGAAATATGTATACTGTTGCCAAGAGGCGGCTGTACGATCACGTTTGAACTTCAGCCCTCTGTTTGAATACAAGTTTAATATTATCATCCAACCAAGGAGCTGGAGCTTTGTTTACACGCACTACCTTTTTTGGACAGTGAATATTAAATAAACATAAAATACTATCTGTTAAAAAGTTAATTTTATCTTCAATGTCATCTAACGATATAATATGCCACCATGGAAAACTCTTGAGATCTTGTTCAAACGCTATTCCATTTAAACTATGGAAATCCCTGAATGTCACAAATTTCTGTTGATTTTTAGGAAGTGCAATACGTATATCACAGAAGGTTAAATAGTGATCAGTAATCATATCAGCATTAATAGTTTTCGTATTTTAGAAAAACTATAAATGCAGCATATCTCTGGATTTTGATCCGTCTAGGGTGAACTAAAGACATATAGAGACTTCAAGTCATATCGCTGGAGTTATAAAGTTGCGCATATCTTGCTATTATACAGGGTGCGGCATAGAGAACGGACGTTTTTGGGATGGGTAGTACTCTCCGCGTCCGTCTACGAGAGAGGTGGGGAGGGTGCCGTATGACTCGTGAGATCCTACAGTATATTCAGATAAGAGATAGACCGGATGCAAACAAAAGGTTCGGGTGATTTTCACGCTAACGCCGCCGTATCGACGTAAAACAGGAGCCCTCATTGGTCAATTCGCAATTAAATGCCTATGCCGAGCGGCAGAGCAGTCGTATCAAGGCAGAGTCACATTCAGGTTCAGACGTGTTACGTACATATGTCGTGTGCATCATTGCAATTTGATATTTCTTTGGACGTTTTCGTTTGTTATCTTATTAAGTTGTTGAGTTTGTCGTTGTTATTGTTATACCTTGTTATTGATTGTTATTGTTATCAACTACTTGCGCAAAATGCCCAGTAGTACAGATACTGCCGATGAAGTTGTAAACTCCTGTAGTCCACCTAGGAAACGCTCTAAAAAAAGACACCTGAGTGCAGAAATGAAAGAGGTCATTTTGAATATATATAAGATCGAGCGCGAGGAGAACGAGGCATCAACCATCAAAGAAATTGTTGTGAAGGTTTCTCACAAAGTTGGGGTGTGTCGCGCATCAGTGTTTAATGTGTTAAGACAATACAAAAAATATCACACCTTTTCTGAGCCAATGACCAGTAAACATCGCAAAAGTATTGTTAAATCATTGGATGAAGCTGATAAGCATGCGATTAGGAGGAAAGTGCATGAATTCTTCTTTAGGAATGAAATACCTACTATAGATAAAATACTGCAGGAGGTAAATGGAGATACAACGTTGCCAAATTTCAAACGATCAACTTCCCATGCGTTACTGAAGCATTTAAATTTCAAATGGAAAAAACGGGGTCGTAATAGTTTACTACTGGATAGAGAAGAAATTGTGCTATGGAGGAGGGATTATTTAACAAAAATTGGGAAATATAGAAATCAAAACAGGAAGATTTATTACCTTGATGAAACGTGGGTAAACGCAGAACACACTACAAGTAAAGTATGGGTTGATGATTCTGTAACTTCATCCAGGAGGGCCTTTCTAGATGGACTGTCCACCGGATTAAAACATCCAGCAGGTAAATACGAGTAATAGACAACAATCGGATGTTTTTCAAACCTTGGGAACAAGGTTCTAAACATTAATTCCAGGGGGCAGATAAAACATATTACAAGTAACAAAACTTTTATAACTTTCGATAAAATGCGTGGATGTTTTATTGTCATTTTTATTTGTTAGAACTTTTTTAAGCCATGTTTTTATGTGTTTTCGATATTTCAATAATTTTTTAATATAATCTTAAAATATGTCGAATATTATAAACTTAAAAAAAGTTACAAATATTGTGTACCGTTCCTAATGTTTCTAATCATTTTAATTCATACTTTAAGCTTTATAAAGCTATAATTTGTTAATATTAATATTTGCGCGTATTTCAGGTTCCTGATCATTCATTTTTTAAAGGTTTATAACTTTAAATTAAATTGTGAAGCGCTGAGTAATCATACGACGTTCAATATTCTTTCTTTCAATATGACTAAATAATCCCAATTATAGCAATCTGATACTCATGTCTCAATGTTTTTTCGCTGAATGTGATGAAAACATTTGAAAAAGGTTCGCTTATTGAAATAAATCTACACCAGTTAGTACTTCGATTTCCAGGTAAAGGGAAAAGGCTCATTATCTGCCATATTGGCAGTGAGGATGGATTTGTTGTTGACGGTCTGTGGTGCTTTGAGTCTAAGAAAACTGGAGATTACCACGAGGAAATGAATGGCGAATCGTTTGAACAGTGGTTTTCAAAAATTTTACCGAACTTAGAGGAAAACGCAGTAATTGTGTTGGATAATGCGCCTTATCATTCTCGAAGAATGGAGAAGGTCCCAACAACGGCTTCAAGGAAAGTTGATGTTCAAAATTGACTCCGCTCGAAAAATATCAATTTTGAAGAAGCAATGCTGAAAGTACAATTATTAAGAATTGTCAAGGATCACAAGGCGGAATATCAAAAATACGCCATTGACGAAATGGCAGCAAGTCAAAATAAAACTGTGCTCCGTTTACCTCCATACCATTGCGAGCTCAATCCCATTGAGCTCATATGGGCAGAGGTTAAAAATTATATAGCTAAGCACAATACAACTTTTAAATTTTGTGACCTCAAAGGACTTTTCAAAGAAGCACTAGAATTAATAACAGCGCAAAAATGGGAAAACTGTATTAAGCACGTGAAAGACAAAGTTGAAAAGAGAATGTGGGAACTGGACAATATTTTAGAGGAACAAGTCGAGCCATTCATTATTGACGTTGGTGCTTCAGGCAGTAGCGATGATGAAAGCTCGTCAAGCTCATCTTTCCAATAAAAGATGTCGTTCATCAAATTCGGTATGAACGACAAGTTATAAGTAATTATAAAGCTACTGTATTTTTTAATTAATTATTGACATTTTTGAACCCATTTTGGCAAAACCTATTCAAGAATCTACTTTCTGACAACGTTCAACCATGCACATTTTTTTACGTTTTGAACGTTTTAATTTGGTTACATATTTACCTAGAAATCAAAAAATATACTAATCAATATTCTAAAAGCAATTTTAAGAGATATACGATTATTTTTAATTTAGGCTAATTTAAACGCCATTTTGAGATTATATTCGACTGTATTTCACCAAACATCAGGCGGCATCCGGAGCTGGAAATCGAAGCGAAAATTTTGAAACCCTTATGTATATTTACATCATTATATATTTCTTACCCCACCCCCACATGATCCTATATCCATCACCAATCGTATACACATCGAATTGTGCTAATTTACTACAGAGTTACGCAAAGCAGCATCTACTGTCTAAAATATGTACTGCGTGACTCTTAATACGTCCTTGCCGAATGTTACAGCGTTCGATGATCACGTGGTCTTGTTTATGTCCGGTCTATCTCTTATCTGAATATACTGTAGCATTATTTTACCAGTTGTCGTTATGGAGCCTTGGATGGTGGAGCACCGCGTTTTCCCCTATGATTGTTTCGTCCGAAATAATGAGTCAGTCATCGTCGTACAGCGTGAGTTTCGTCGCCACTTCAACATTCATCGGAATAGAGCTGTTCCCTCTCGAAACACCATCCTTCGTTGGGTTGAATCACTTCGCAGGCGTGGTGAACTGATCAACAGAAGACCAAGAGGTGCGCCGCGAACAGTTCGAACTGCTAAAAATGTTGAACGCGTTCGACAGGTCTTTCTTCGCAGTCCGACTCGATCTGCCCGGAAACATGGTGCTGCACTACGCCTTAGTGATAGTTCGGTAGGGCGAATTTTGCATATGGATCTCTGCTTTCACCCCTACAAATTGGCCATTGTGCTACAGTTACAGCCCGGAGATTATGCACAACGAATGAACTTCGCACGTGAGATGGAAACACTGATCGATCAAAATGAGAACCTCATTTTGTTTATGAGTGACGAAGCCCACTTTCACCTAAATAGCATGGTTAACCAGCAGAATTGTCGTTATTGGGTGATGTGATTTTGCACACTTGACTGTCTCAAATGCTATTTCCTTGTGAACCTGATTCCATCAATAAATTTGTTTTCGAGTAACAATTACCTATTTTATGATTTTTTTAAAATCGTCCATCCTCTCTGCCGCACCCTGTACCTGTATATGTACTTGCCTTCTCAAAGCCTTTAATATATTTTCTCTAAAAGCACTATTTGCAACTCGTCACTGTCGCATTTGTGAAGCCGCGTGGGACTTGTAAAATGAGTAATAAACATGCTTAATAGAGGAATTAGGTATGTAAAAAAAGCTAATTGTATGTCATACTTATAGTCCAGGTACTTGGTTTTACACATAGCTGAACTTCAAAATTCCGGATGAACCTGCAATCCAGTGTTGTTAAATAGAGGAGAGAAATGTTACGAAGAACAGATTATTGCTAATGAGGTGTATAGCGAAATAAGTGCTTCCAAAATAGGCTAAAAACGTCAAAAAAAACGGACAAAATTTTTCCGCATTTGATCGCTATAATCGCTGTCAAAAGCGTCCATCTATGAAGGAATGAATCAACGGCACGGCATTCTCCAGCATGCATTGTTGGTTGCAGAGAGCAAAGTTGTTTCTAGTTCTGAGATGTGAAAGAAGGAAAGTTGGTTGAGTAGCAAGATCGCACCTGGATGATTATTATGTGTATTGGTCTGCATGTCTATAAAATCAGTGATATTTGCTATATGAGAAAATTCGCGTGTCTAGCGATCTTCCTCGTACTCGTTTCAGGATGTTCTCCGACTTCGTGCAGCGCTGCTTCCTCAATTTCAGGTGTTCTCACGCTTAGAGGTCTACCTTCAGATGTTCCTTTTCAGACAGAACCAGTTTCAACAAGACGACGATGAATATTAGAAAAGGTTTTACTATCTGGCAAAGCACGATCGGGATATCTCTGGTGATAAATCCGTCTGGCTTGTTCACCATTACCGTCGGCAAGGCCATATACGTAATGCATTTCCGTCATTTCTGCATTTGATTAATTCACCATTAATAACAAGATTGTCAAAACTGAATAATGAAAAATATGTCGCAGCGAACAGATTTGACTAACAGAGACTTGTCAGATATCAAAATTCAGTGACATATTCCAGGGCAACTAGATATTTGTTGCTAAATTGCATTACCCAGAGTTTTTTATTTCGAGATAGGGGCCTTAGCATTGACTCTAAAGAATATATAAATCCTTTTGTACAATCTCTTTTACAAAGGCTTCACGTTTGGCTTGCTTGAATGTTTAAAAAAGTAATCCTAGTATTTTTCCATATAACTATGAATTGCCAAATCGTCGTGGAACTCCATATAAATTAAATGCAAATAGAAAGAAAAATAGTTATTTATTATACAAGTGGAAAATGTACTAGATTTTAGCGTGAGGTTGTATAGCCAAAAGCTAAAATCTAGTAGTTTTCCCGAATATAATACAATTTTTTTCTGTAACGGGAAAAATGATATTATTACAATATTTAAGTCAGAAAATTATGGATGTGAAAAAACAGAGACTTGTCAGATATCAAAAGCCAGTGACATATTCCAGAGCAACTATACTAAGTGACATATAAATCCGAACACCCAGTTTAAATGGTTTTATTTTAATAAAATTTTGTATAAGTACTTAATGAAGCATAATAAGTAAATGATAAAAATTTCAAAATGATTGCACTGCTTTAAAGCCCTTTGACCTTTAATAATGTGTGGATGCACCCTGATGTGCTACGCATTCTCCAACGCCCCTAGGCATGCTTCTGATCAGGTGGTCAATGTCCTCCTGTGGTATCTCATTCCAGGCAACCACCAACTCCTCTCGAAGTGCTTCTAGAGTCTGAGGAGGACGTTGCAAATTGAGCAATCTCCTACCCATCATATCCCACACGTGCTCAATTGGGGATAAGTCGGAAGATCTTGGTGGCCATGGTAACAATGTGACATCATTATGTTGAAAGAAGTATATTGTGACTCGGGCATTATCTTGTTGGAAAGTTGGATCTGCCAGGGTGTCAAGATAGGGTAAAAGATGGGGTTCTAGAACTTCGTGGATATGACGCTGCGCGTTCATGTTACCTCTGATGAAGATTAAAGGTGACCTGGAACCATAAGCTATAGCACGCCAAACCATAACTCCAACAGTGTGATGAACATGTCTTTCAACAAAAAACTGTGGATTCCTCCTTTCACCACGTCGCCTTCTAACCCTGGCACGACCATCGTGCATGCCTAAACAAAATCGAGACTCGTCACTAAATACAATACTGTTCCATTCCTGATCCCAGAGTGACCGTTGTCTGCACCACTCAAGGCGATTACGTCGGTGTTCTCAAGTTAAAGGGAGGACCCAGTGTGGCCGGTATGAAAACAAGCCAAAACTTCTCATTCGTCGGTAAGCACTTCGCATGCCAATAGGTCTTCCGTGTTCTGCAAACCATTCATTTGCAATGGACCTGGTAGTGGAGAAACGGGCCCTTAAAGCCAATAATCTTAGGCGGCGATCTTCACGGTCTGTTGTTCTACGGCGGCGTCCAGTGCCCCTTGCTCTTTGCGTACGGCCTTCTCGAAGCCATGCCTGACAACACCTAACCACAGTGTCTACACTTCTGTGCACTCTAACTGCAATTGCCCGAAAAGAAAGTCCAGCTTCCCGAAGTCCCACTATACGGCCCCTATCAAACTCACTAAGTTGACGAAATCATACAGGTCTCCGTACTCTAGGCATCGTAACCGATCGTAAAGGATGTCAAGAACCAAAATCCGCCAACGTTGATTCTTTACTGCGGCTGAAATGTTCATTTTTAGAGCGTTAGTGAATTAAAAAAAAGCAGTATAAAAACCGGAATGTCCAACTGATAAGGCTGAAAATTTTTTCACTTGTTATTTACAGTAAGATAAATACATTCACCAACTTTTATTAAAATAAAACCATTTAAACTGGGTGTTCGGACTTATATGTCACTTAGTATATATGACCTGTAATTGGACAGTTTTCAGTGAATATAATTGCAATATGTGGCAGTATGAAATTTAAAATGTAAGATTCCACATAAAGTTAATTACTTTACCAACCAGCGATTTTCTTATCCCACTCATTTTTTAAATTCAGCAAATTTGCATATTATGTAATTTCCAGAATGAATAAGAAAAACTGGATGCGCAACTGATTTCTAGCTTAAAATACATCTCAAGTAAGTGTATTATCATCAGTACAGATTATTAGTGAAATGCGAAGGGCTTTCGCGACCATCATCCAATATTATTTGGTTGGTTTTTGGGTTATTAGGCCGTCGTGAAACATTTTATTATTTTATTATTGACGTCTCGCCAACACGAGTGGTTTTCATGTTCAGAAGATGTTCAAAATTTGGAATCATGTGAGCTACTGCTGCAAAGTAGCCCACAACAAAATTGAATGTAAATTAAAACCTTATTTTGCTGGATTATACTCGTGCTTACAATGAAGGAAAAATTTTATCATCCGGATCAATCCTCATTAGTGGACTAAAAATAATAATTGCCATGTATGTTATATAGACTAACAATTACCTAAGTAAGCAAATTTGTATGACCTGCAGGGTTTGTTCGGAAAGTAATAGGACTGAGTCGATTTAAAAAAATTTATTGAGCCAATCGTTACAATTCTTCAAAAACTTTCAAAATAGGCCCTTCGGCGTCGATGCAGCGCTGCCAGTGCGATTTCCAATCATTGAAGGCGTCACGGAAGGCGTTCTCCGGAAATAGCCTTGAGAGCCGCGGTGCATGCTGCTTGGATCCGCTCTCGAAAACAAAATCGACAGGTCTGAACGTTTTTCCAAAACAAAACTGAGCTGTCAGTAAATGCGTCTGTTTCGTTTTCGATACGCCACCCTGTATATTTCATCGGCAGCATATTCAGTATGAATTTTCTCACATAGCAAATGATTTTATACACTAATACACACCAAATTTGCCAGGGTCAACAAATAAAAATCACTAGAAATTTTGCTAAAAAATCACTAGATTGAATAAAAAATAACTACAGTATATTCAGATAAGAGATAGACCGGACATAAACAAGACCACGTGATCATCGAACGCTGTAACATTCGGCAAGGACGTATTAAGAGTCACGCAGTACATATTTTAGATAGTAGATGCTGCTTTGCTTAACTTTGTAGTAAATTAGCACAATTCGATGTGTATACGATTGGTGATGGATATAGGATCATGTGGGGGTGGGATAAGAAATATATAATGATGTAAATATACATAAGGGTTTCAAAATTTTCGCTTCGATTTCCAGCTTCGGATGCCGCCTGATGTTTGGTGAAACACAGTCGAATATAATCTCAAAATGGCGTTTAAATTAGCCTAAATTAAAAATAATCGTATAACTCTTAAAATTGCTTTTAGAATATTGATTAGTATATTTTTTGATTTCTAGGTAAATATGTAACCAAATTAAAACGTTCAAAACGTAAAAAAATGTGCATGGTTGAACATTGTCAGAAAGTAGATTCTTGAATAGGTTTTGCCAAAATGGGTTCAAAAATGTCAATAATTAATTAAAAACTACAGTAGCTTTATAATTACTTATAACTTACCGAATTTGATGAACGACATCTTTTATTGGAAAGATGAGCTTGATGAGCTTTCATCATCGCTACTGCCTGAAGCACCAACGTCAATAATGAATGGCTCGACTTGTTCCTCTAAAATATTGTCCAGTTCCCACATTCTCGTTTCAACTTTGTCTTTCACGTGCTTAATACAGTTTTCCCATTTTTGCGCTGTTATTAATTCTAGTGCTTCTTTGAAAAGTCCTTTGAGGTCACAAAATTTAAAAGTTGTATTGTGCTTAGCTATATAATTTTTAACCTCTGCCCATATGAGCTCAATGGGATTGTGCTCGCAATGGTATGGAGGTAAACGGAGCACAGTTTTATTTTGACTTGCTGCCATTTCGTCAATGGCGTATTTTTGATATTCCGCCTTGTGATCCTTGACAATTCTTAATAATTGTACTTTCAGCATTGCTTCTTCAAAGTTGATATTTTTCGAGCGGAGCCAATTTTGAACATCAACTTTCCTTGAAGCCGTTGTTGGGACCTTCTCCATTCTTCGAGAATGATAAGGCGCATTATCCAACACAATTACTGCGTTTTCCTCTAAGCTCGGTAAAATTTTTGAAAACCACTGTTCAAACGATTCGCCATTCATTTCCTCGTGGTAATCTCCAGTTTTCTT